TTAATAAAAATGCCTTTCTGACTCATTCAAAACATAAAGTGGGCCAAGGATCTTCCCCTTGTAACCAGGTCACATGAAATAAAGCTGATGCTGTGGAAAAGGGAAAAGGGGAGCCGCCTGCCAGCTGGAACTGCCTTGCCCAGGTGTCCAGGGACCACATACATCCTTCCTCCCACATTTCATTGGTCAGAACTAGTCACTTGTCCTCAACCTGAGTGCAGAGGAGCCAGAAGACATTCAACTGCACATGGAAATCTGATGAGCAAAGTGATTTCTGCCACACTGTCCCATATTTCTTAGGAAGACTTGAGCAATTTCTATATTAATGGATGAAAAAAATCCACCATGGAGCAGGTATAAGAAGTACACAGCCTGCTTGCACAGGGCTGTCCGAGTGTACCCGGGTTTTCTAAAGCTATATGGAAAGTCCTAGGTATCTCAGTCACAGAGATGGAATGAACTTTTTTTTAATTGCTGCAAAGATACAGAACAAGATGAGTTACTTTAATAGCCTCTCTCATTCTGCAAAAATATTTACAGCACAAAGCAAAACATTTTGACTTAAAAAGGAGCAGAAAAATACACATTACATATTATGGGCACTGACCTCAACCTCTCTATGCCTAAAACCTTTTGCTTGTTGGCCTCCAGTAAAATAAGCTCAGTGATCTAAGATTGGGCCCCTTGTGTAAAGCAGTCCATCATAAAACCATCACCCTTACTTTAGCACAATCGCAGTCACTGCTCACAGAAATCAGAAGAGTGAGTTACCATGGCGACAAAGCCAACTTTCCTCTTCAGAATGGCTGATACTTCCGAGTCCTAGCAGGTACTACCAGAGAAGGAGCACGAGGTATGCACAGAGACCGGCAGCCCCGAATCTGGATCCTGTCATTGTGTAGCTAAGCGTGTTCACATCGTCTTCTGGTACAGTAACAAAGACACACGTTGCACTGAAGGATAATCCTGTGTAATCACTGTTTACAAAATAAATCCCTATATCCATCTAAGCCATGTGGAAAGTTTAAATTGTAATATGTGGTCTACCGCTAATTAGTGCTTTATTAATGGGGGGACCGCTCTGCTTGACCTATTTGCTGAAATTCGGCGGCGCTCCAGGAGACCGTATGGATGGCCAGATGGGCTGCTGTAATTCAGTGCCATTATTCTAAGGATGAAGTAAGGGATAAACATAATTTGCATTCTTTTCCATCCTTCCTGCATACCTTTTATTAGTTTCATTTTTAATGCAGACATCAGAAGGGAAGCTAACACCTTGCTACCAAGACCCAGATGCCAACTAATTACTAGACGAGACCCCAGCCCTGACATCACGGGCCAGGCGTCCAAACGCACTGCAGCTCACCCAGTGGCCCCCCCCCCGTGGTGATTAATAGGCTGAGTGCTAAGCCCTAATGAGTGTGTCAGATCTTAGATGGTCTCTAGGCTAATGTAATTAGCATTATGTTAAACAGAGTATTTCAGTTACTTGATAGAGAGACTCATTATAGTTCACGGTAAACTTTATGCTTTTTTGCGTTATGGCCTTTGAATTTCCTTTATAATTATCAGCCTAAAAGGCCTCTATAAATAGAGATCTTTCAAATTATTAGATAAAGATTTAAATATTTTTAAATCAAATATTGATTTGCTTCTACTACAGGAATCCCTATGTTACACATAAAGCGAAGTTCGAAGATATTTACAAAAATGCAAGTTTCTTGGCTCTACAAATTCTGGTAAAAGGGGCTTTGGAATAAGATCCAGGACTATGCATTTTTAACAAGAGACCCATGGTTCCAAAGCAGAAAAATCTGTGGACCATACTTGAAAAAACACTGCCACTTTGGTAATAGGACCAATGTCTGTGTCTTAGATTAATTGAACCTATTAGATTTTCTGTTCTAAATAGTTACCATGTTTCTGAAAAAAATTATCTGCACCTGTATAAGGGGACATGCTTTCATATTGAGATTACACTTTTAAATGTGCCAATATTTCTTGTTAAAAAGATGAAAAATGAATTATCAAGATAAAATATAGATGCTATTTCCAACAAACCATGTAAGTGTATGAGCATCCGTTCAACAGTGGACGTGGCCAGTCGTAGCATTTCTACCCAGTGGGCAATGGATCTGGAATTACTTTTCCGGTCTTAAGGGAAAGACCAAAGGGTAGCAGACTCCCACCTTTCCTCCGTGGCCAGAGATGATACACTAAATGTCTCAGCCCTGACGACTCTGATGATCAAAGGACTGTAAGCATTTTCCCACTGCTTACTTGGGTATCAGCAAGGTATTTCCATCATCTGGTACTACCTACTAAATATTTTCATATGTTTAGCATTCTTTTCTTAAAACAACCAGATACAAAATCCTTGTGAATCTATAATTTAGACTTATTTTATTCCTCTTTTCCCTAAACATATTAAGGTCATTTTTTCCTCAATTGATAACTATTTTACCAAACTACCATTTTCTTGATGAACTTCAAAAAGAGTTCTCTTCTGTGTTTTTTTTTAATGTATATGGTATGTATTAAAAACAGGAAAATAAGAGCATAATAAAGTAAAAACAACTATTTAATGATAAATATATATGATGGATATTTACTTATAATTTGATACTGGGATTTATTGGTTTGAGAAAAGCCATTATACCATTCTTCATTCCAAGCCTCCTTTTAGATCCAGCCAGGGGGTGAAGAGCTGTCCCATGACCACGGCAAGTCTACAAACACATCCTGCTTTTGTTGGATGGGGAATGGTTACTGGGGTATCAAGCTCTGTCTGAGACTCGTTGTATGTTATCCTATTCCATCTCTTCCTCTAGGAAGGCTGCATGTCCCAGCAACCCCACCCCTGCCTCTAGGGAGGGCAGTGTTCCATTTCTGACCAATGGCATGTGTGCAAATGTTGTGTAACATTTCCAGACCTGGCCCCTAAGATACCCAATATGATCTTCCACACCATCTGTGTTCGTTCTCTGTCCAGGCAGATGGAGCTGATTTAGGGAAGACCACAAAGCCTTAGGTGATGGCACAGCCACTAGATAAAACATTACTTGAAGTAAAGTTGATACACTAATGAATACAAGAAATCAACTTGTACTCCCTTGTGACCGTGGGACTTTGAGGCTGTTTTTCTTGAAATAAATAAAGTCAATTAAGACTTGACTTATTGAAAAAATTACACAAATTGTTGTTGCTTACAAGTTAGCCAACTATCAATTCAACAGAAAATTACGAATGTATAGGACCTGAAGTCCAAATTCAAAAGACTTATACAAATTCACTAGACGAATATGTTTCAGTTGTATCAGAGAAGGGGGAAAAACACATACCCTAAATTCAGTACATTTTGGAGCTTAGGACAAGATGACTTTCTGTGCTGCTCTAATAAAACATTATTAAAGAACATATGACCCATGGGACAGAGGAACAAGACCCAGGGCACAATATCTACTGTTTCTACAATCATCAAAGATAACACAGCAACAACCCCTAAAGCACTGTCCAAAGGAGAATCTCAGAAAATGTTTTCAAAGCAGAATTTTTCACTGACATACCCAAATAGCATTTTAAAGGTACCTTTTGGTACTGGAACAAAAATGCATCAATTTAACCTAACCAAAAGGGAAATGGAGTCATATACTGGAGAAAATAAAATCACTGACACACAGAAAGTGGAAGACACCCACCCTCCCACCCACCCACACACACACACACACACACACACGCAGGATTACTGGAAGATCAGTTTTTATCTTGGTAGTACAATAAAAAGACAATACCCTGAAGAATAGTTATTATGTCACTAACAAATGACCTTAGTAGGGGCAGCATATGAATGAGGTCTGCAGAAGGCCGTGCACAGATCTTTCTCTGTCACTTTCTGGAGGTAAAGAGGAAGATCAGAGAAAGGGAAGAGAGCTCAGTGATTAAATGTTTGGGGTCTCAGTTTCCACCCGCCACTAATGAGCTGCTTGACTTGGTAAAAATATTTCATGTGTCTATTTCCTCAGCTATAGAATGGAGAGAAGATAACATTTCCTTCACAAAACGTTGAAAGAATTAGGTTATATGACACAGAGCAAACATTTAGAGAAGCCTTAGCTGAAAGTAAACGCTAATACATATTGCATAGTATTCCTAATGCCATCCTCATTAGTATGAGCCACACTACTCTCGCCTGTAAAGTAAGACATCGCAAGGTGATCTGCATGATTTCTTTTATATCCTGAGTCTTTTATACACCTGTCTTTTAAAGTCAAATATCCAGTTGAAAAACAAAAACTCTAAAATCTAAATATTTTAAGTCATGACTGTAAAAATCTATAGACAGTCTCTCTGCTGTGGGGACTGATTTAAAGAAGATGTAATAATGTATGAACAATGCCAATTTTTTTAACAGTCAAAAGTAATGTAGTACTTTGATTTATTCATTCTCCCTCATGAATCATACCCTAATTTGAACATGGAATGTAACAAGATAATTGTCAGGCAACCATTTAAATTAAAAAAAAAAGTCATGTTTAATGAGTACTGCAGAGATAAGGAATTATTTAATTCACCCAAACTTGAATGGATGCACAATGTACATGATAACACTCTATTTCTGCAGCTTAAAATCACTTTTGAGGCTTACAGATTGTCAGCAACTTGAGTTTTACCAATTGTTCTAATGGTATAGACTTTATTGCAAATTAAATTATGGAAAAGTGCCTCCCTTGAAAATTCTGTAATTTAGTAAATCTCAGTTCATGCAAAGGCAGCCTCATTCAAACATATACTCCAGCAAGACTCAGAATGAAGTGAATAGTTCAAGATGCTGAATTACTAAAATCATTAAAAATTCAGCCCTAATTATATTTTTGGTTGGTTTTAAGTGACTACAATATGAAAACAAGTCTTTACTATGCCAAGACACTACATGTAAAACACTGTGGCACGAAGGAATGATTTTCTTAAACCAGAATTCTATTTAGTCCAAAGATCCTTACCTCCTGCATACATAACAGCCAGCATAATGGAGGATATCCATGCTATTTCACTGTAGGTAGTGTTGAATATTTGCTGAATTTCTTTGAAGAATACTGTCACGGCTTTGGGAAATGCATATGAAAATCCAATGGAGATAAAAGCTGCTCCGACCACTACCCAGCCCCATCCTCCGTCAGGAGGTGGATGCAGTGGTGGGGAACTTGCTGCTGGTGGCATTGCTGCTCCCCAATTTGAAATTCAAGTGACCTATATTAAAAAAAGGAAATAACAGTTTGAACCCTGTTTCAGTTTTCACATATCACTCTTGATAGTTACACAAATAGTATTTTCCAGTTATAACTACAGCTATATAATTTTTCATAAATATTTTTTACTCTAGAACTCAAACTACCAGAAAATGTACCAAAACACTAGAGTGACGTATGTAACTTTATTATGAGCTAAAAATTAAAAGCATTTAATTTGTTTACAGAAACAAATGTGACTCAAAGAGAAGTCAGGAATTCAGATCTGTACTAAAGTACCAACGAATAAAATAAAAGCTATCTCAATCAGATTTTTAAGATAAATGGAGCTGTCATCACTTAGAATAATTTCTTAATCCAAAATATTTAAGATTTTCTATACAAAGGTTAAAAAGATCATATATTAAATCTGACAAATTTTAGAGCGTTCCATAGTAAGCATATTTTAGAATTTTTCCATTTTCCATAATTGAGACTGCTTAAAAGAGACCTATTTTCTAAACTTACAGGATTAGAAATTGTACAGTTCTAATGAGTTAATTTTAATGCACTTCCAAAACTGGTGCTACCTATCATTTTATAAATGATACATTTTATGAATTCTTCATAGCAATGAAATGCTCCCAATCAAATGGATGGCATGCTATTTTTTTAAAAGAAAGGGACCTTCTTTTGGGATCTGGCTAGGAACACTTAACTGCCAGCTTTCTGGTCTGGAGTCCCCACTCTCCTGTGTAAGAAATGATCACATATAGCTTAATGCAACTGAAAATAGATGAAAAACATCTTGCTTCTCTCACATCCGCGTTTCTTTGTAGAGCGAGGCTGCTTGCTTGGCTTTTAGCTTTAATCGCTGGTATTTCTCAGTATCTTCTTTTTACTACTCTCATTCCATCTGAGGGGATTTTTCAGTTGAAATGTAGAGGAAAAAAGAAACGCTTGAGTGTTGGTAAGATAACACTGAAAATAAGCTAAGAAAAGCTAAATTTGCTGCTAATTTAGAAAACCAAAAAAAAAAAAAAAACCCCAAAAAACCAAACAGTGCTCTATGAAAACAGACGTTTAATAAACGTAGAGACGTTTAATCTTTCTTTAATGTCAAATTTTATCTAAGATATTTTCAGTGGTCTTCTATAAGCACTTTTTAGATTTTGAGTGAAAATATTCTCTGAAGTTTTCTAATGTGTCCACAGTTACAACCAATGCCTTTGCTTTCAGAAACTCGCGTAGGCAAAATGATAAAAATGAAACTTGTAACAGAGCACTGATTCCCTAGGATAAATACTGTGACAGTGAGTAATAGAATGGAATTAGCAATGTGGACAACTGTGACCCTCACTCTTTTTCGGAATGTTAATTTTGGCAAATACACTTAAGACTTTTTTACATAATATTTTACAGTATTTCATAGATGGAAGGAAATCAGTATAATCTGCAAGCGACAGGCAGGGCTGAAGATTAAAATGCTTATTTTACAGTATGTGAGTCAGGCATATCTGCAAGGAAGTTCTCAGACATTCAATTGTAATCACCCTTTTTTTGAGGTTTTTTCCCAGCTTTATTGAGGTCTGATTGACAGACAAAATTGTAATATATTTAAAGTGTGCAACATGATTTGATATACGTATACATTATGAAAAGATCCCCACCCTCGAGTCAGTACATCCATCACCTCACATATGCACCTTTGTGTTGTGTGAACAAAGCTCTACTCTCTTAGCAAATTTCAGTTACACAGCACAATGGTATCACTATAGTTACTGTATCACACATCAGATCCTGAGCACTTACTCGTCTTCTAACTGAAAGGTTTTAGCCTTTTACCAACCTCTTCCCATTTCTGAACCCCTCAGGGCTGGCAACCACCGTCTATTCTTTGTTTCTATAAGTATGATTTTAAAAAAAACTCCACACCTAAGTATTACCATGCAGAATTTGTCTTTCTCTGTCTGGTTTATTTTGCTTAGCACAGTGCCCTTCAGATTCATCCATGTTGTCCTGAATGGCAGGCCTGAATTCGTTTTTAAAGCTGAATAATATTTCATTCTGTGTGTGTGTGTGTGTGTGTGTATGTATGTAACATATATAAACTTTTTTTTTTAATGCATCCATCTGTTGATGGACACCCAGGTTGTTTCCATATCTTGGCTGGCATGAGTAATGCGGGAGTGAACGTGGAAATACAAATATCTTTTCAAGATGATGATTTCCATTCCCTCCCTTTGTATGTAGACCCAGAAGTGGAATTGCTCCATCATATGACAGTTCTAGTCTTAATTTTCTGAAGAACCTCCATACTGTTTTCCACAGAGACTGAAAGTTTACACTCCCACCAACAGCATAAAAGGGTTCTGTTTTCTCCACATCTCCACCAGCATTTGTTATTGCTTGTTTTTGTCTGTTTTTTTTTAAAATAATAACCATTCTAATAGGTACGTGGTAATATCTCATTGCGGTTTTGACTTTCTTTCCCCTAATGATTAGCAGTTTAAGCGCCTCTTCATGTACCTATAGGCCTTTGGTATGTCTCCTTTAGAAAAATGTCTACTCAAGTCCTTTGCCCATGTTAAAATTAGGGTATTTGGTTTTTCTGCAATTAAGTTGTATGAGTTCCTTGCGTATTTTGGATATTAACCTCTGTCTGGATATATGCTTTACAAGTGTTTTCTCCCATTTCATAGGGTTGCCTTTTCATTTTGTTACAATTTTCTTTGCTGTACAGAAACTTTCTCGTTTGATGTGGTCTCACTTGTTTGTTTTTGCTTTTGTTGCCTTTGCTTTTTGATACCAAATCCAAAAAGTCACTGCCAAGATCGATGTAAGGAGCTTGCCTTCTATGTTTTCTTCCAGGAGTTTTATAGTTTCAGGTCTTATATTCAAGTCTTCAATTCATTTTAGGTCGATTTTTGTGTCTTGTGTAAGACAGGGGACATTATTAATTCATCATTTTAAACTACTGCAGCTTTTCTCACATCTATATTCTATAGTAAACACAGAAATCACAACTGGGTGGTTCTTTTCAGTCAGCTCAAAAATTATAACTAACATTTTAAATAAGCTTAAATCCATTATTTTAAAATCAGTATAACAACAAATGTTGAAATCTACTAATGAGCTTGGTTGATGTTGAGATTTCCATTTACCAGGCAGGAATCTATGCTCACAGAAAGGTGAAGGGACCTTTTTAAAAGCATTATATAAGGGAGTTTTTTTTTTTCTTGATACTTCCTTTTCTTGTATTGTTATTTCTTTCATAGTTCACCAGTTTATCTCAGGATATGATCTTTTACTCTCTTTTTCCAACATATTTACTTGATTTTAATTATAATTCATCCTCCAGGTTGCAAGTCACCACTCGTAAACTTCTTCACATCTTTGTGTACAGCCTGGTTTGTTTCTTCCACTTAAATGGACATCTTATGATCTCTTAGCTGAATCATTCCAAAGTGGACAAAAACCAATGAACCCTTGAAAAATTCCACTTCCAAAATTGTCACCCATGCATTATTAACAACTCTTGAATTAACCAATAGTCAGGACCCAATTCACACACACTCATCGGCCTCGTGTTATTTTCCTGTGCACAATTCTGTATTATTTTATACAACTTACGGCTGTTGGGTTTTGATCCTTTTATTTATGGGCATAGTCAAGAAAAACAGCGTCAAAAGTAAAATGATACCTGTTGGCAGATGCCCACGTGGACAGATTTCTTTGGATTACACGTGGTATCGAAAAGTCTCGTCACTACTGCTTGAAGTGTGGTATTTGAAGGCAATGCAAAGGAAGAGAGGTAGAACAGATGCTGGATTATCTAAAAAAAAGAAAAACAAGGGTAATATGTACAACTGAGTGCCACAGCTTCATTAGAGTCACTAGCTTTAATTCACCTCAGTAAATTGTGACCATGTTTTAATAATTAACAAAATTGAGTATATATACATAAATACATGTGCATATGTATTTCTTTATCAGTCCACTGATGGGATTAGTAAGGTATGACAAAATGATGAAATGTGTGCAGGAGAATAAAAAATTTAAAGTATAAAATGAAGATTTGGGTTTTTAAAAAATAAGTAACAGTAAATTACATATGTACTATTATGAGAAGGAAATGTACTGGCATTCATTAGCTGTCACTCAAATAATTCCCTATACTCATTTAAACAATTTGATCTAAAATTCAGTTAAACAAAATCTCCATTGACAATAAAAACAGAAAATTTAAAAGAATTATTACAAATACAATCATGAATATACATGTCTTACAGTGAGACAGAGTCATGAAACTGAGACAAAAAGTATCGTAGAAATCTTATGATTTAGAAATCAAATGTCTTAATCAGATCTGGGTGACAGATGAATGTGCTAAATCTCCTTAACATATCAAATACTTTTATACTTTTATTTCAACTTTAATCTGTTGCTAAGTCGATAGAAGCTAGTACTTAGAGTTTATTTTCTTTGGGCTACGCTTTCCTTTGCTTAGATTAAAGCTAAGAAAAAGTCAACTCTGTCAATTAAATAACCAGTTGCCTGCCTTGCATTCAGGGCCACCTATCCTAAAGTGTTGACAGAAGGCAATGCAACCACCAACCCAAATGAGGTTTGTGTGAGAGGATGAGGAAAGTCTGGGATCTAGTTGCCAAGTTCAGTGAGAAACTGAGGGTAGGGACTAGAATAAAGATCATGTTTAAAAAAAAAAAAGAGAAAGAAAGGAAAAAAAGTACATCAATGAACTCATCTACAAAACAGAAACAGACTCAAAGACATAGTAAACAATCTTGTGGTTACCAGGGAAAAGGGGGTGGGAAGGGATAAATTTGGGAGATGGAGATCTGCAAATGTTAACCACTATATATAAAAATAGATTAAAACATTTTTTATTCTGTATAGTACAGAGAACTATATTCAATATCTTGCAATAATCTTTAATGAAAAAGAATATGAAAACAAATACGTGTGTGTGTGTGTGTGTGTGTGTGTATATGCATGACTGGGGGCGTTGTGCTGTACACCAGAAATTGACACATTGTAACTGACTATACTTCAATTAAAAAAAAAGATTAGCAGAAGAATTAGAAAGTCATGGATAAAATCTGAGGAATGGATATGGCTGGAAGAAAAGTTTCAAGTTGGGCTATGAATGGAGAGTCCACACTAAGCGGGTCTCCTACGTCCAGGATAACAGGAGCGAGGAGGGGCTCACATCTGCTCTGGTCCTACCAGGAGACTTGGGTGCCTCTG